AGAACTGGATGCAGTAAGAAGAGCTTCTTCTTATTCAGAAGAGCTGTTGTGAGTTTTGATACTATCACAAAGGAGCATTAGGAGAAGCAAAGGCCAGAGGGATTTGGTCTCTCACAATGGGCTCTGATGAAGTCAACACCTACTGTGTTCTACTGTGGATTAATTTTCCAGGGCCTCTGTAGCTGTAGTAGGTTCCACCCCAGTAGTATTTTTGCTCCAGGGACCTGAAGATTCCATGAAGGCTTTGCCAGATGATGTGAGGCCCCTGTGTTTGGGGAATATGCTCTGGCACACTTGGAATGTTCCTCGGTAAGGAAGGTGAATCTCGACCCAAGTTTGGTCATAGATCAGCCCATACTGATGAGCACAGGCACTGCTAATTGGACAGCACTCTTAATAAGCATTTAGTAGAAGCCTGCAGGGCTTGGTTCATTTATTCTCATTTCTTAGTCACTAGATAATGTATATTTTTGGAAAGATCTTTGTTTTTCCTGCAGGGTAGGTGGAATCCTTCCTGCAATGCTCTTGCCACGCAAGCGCTGCAGCCTCGCTGCAGTGCCGAGAGCTGGCACTGCAGGAACAGGCAGAATGAATGGGAAAGCAGCTTGAGAAAATGGTGCTGGTTAAAAGATGCCTGACCATTGCACTAAATTATACTTTAAAACCTTTGTTCAATATATCAGACAAATCAGTGTCTCAACCCAAGCATCACTTGAAGGCAGGATTGAAGTCTTGGGCTTTTTAATTCATGTAGTATGATCAAGAAAAGCTTACTTCTGATCAAAGCAGGAGCAGCCCAACTGCAGATGATCAAAGACCTAAGTGTTAGCTGATGTACTGAGAAACCAAATGTGTCTCTCACTAGTGAGCTCAGTAGGCAGCTCAGCTGGAGGTGAGGTTGCAACAGGGGACGTGAAGGTTAGAAAAGAACAAAGTTTCAGTCAGTCAAAATTGGAAAATTACAGAGTGAATAGCATCTAATTTCAGGGCACTCAGTGCAGTGGGCCATAAAAAAAACCAGTCCCCTCTGAGCACTTTCAGTTTGTGTGGTGTTCAGGCACAGGATTTGATCCTGGATAAGTGCTTTAGGTTTGAAAGCTACGATTGACGTGAGCAGACACAGAGCAGTGAGAGGTGTGTAGTGCCCAGTGCCCTGGGAAAGCACAATTCTACATGCAATTGAACTGTTTGTTGTAATTCATTTTCAGTTGTGTTCTTAAGGTAAAGTATCATGAATTCTTGTATTGGTTTTCCTGTAGGCTTGTGACCTTTAAAGGGATAGAAGTTATTTATGTTTCATCAGGGGAAGTGAAAAAATGCAGGGAGAGGACCTTATGGTGGGTGACAGATAACTCTGTTCTATGGATAATAAAACCTGACTTTCATTCTTGTAAAGACAAAACACAGACCTTTTCTTTAGCAAAAGGAGTAAGTGTATAGTCAGGTTTGTCACTTGGATCTAGTCAAGAACATAAATCAAAATAAACTGAACTATACCCTTGCTTCTTAGCTGGAGATCAGACTGAGGAGGATGATGGGGAGGACAGTCTCCATTTGTGCTAATTAAGCTTTCTGACAGGCAAATGTATCTTTGCTCACAGGGAACTACATGTTTTAGAGTGGGAGTTAATAGGCAGAAAGAGCTCTCAGAGACCAGCGAGTGGGTGAGACTGATGCTTCCTCTGGGAAAGTGCGGGGGCCTGATCTCCAAACACTCCCTGCAGGACCAGACCCTTGCAAGATGAGGACGTGGGTTTAAAGGATATCTCTGGAGGTTGAGGGAGCCCATGTTGCTTGTGCTGGGGCCTGGTGTTGTGCAAAAGCTGCATTCTAGGAAAGCATAATGTGCAGCACCTCTGTGGGAGGAGGTTGTCCAGTGCTCCAGGGAATGGCCTCTGCTAATATCCCACCATGTCTGCAGCAGGAGGAGTCTCTCCAAAGCAAATAAACAGCATGAACACTCATGGGAGGAAAAGAGGAACCCTTTTTCCCTGAGTGTATTGACCAGCCACTGTCTTGAAAAATTGTTAATGCTGTTGCAGCACCATTATCACTTGCAGCCGACGTGCGGGGGCATCTGTGGCATTACGAATAAGGAGGGTTTAGTGGCTGGCTGGCTGTTCCAGCGAGGTTCAGGGCTGATGGAGGACAGCACAAAGGATGTTTATTCAATGGCTTGGGATCTCTGAGCTCACTTCAGTCAAACTGACCCCATGGCCAGCAGCATCTTCTCCCCTCTCTGTGCAGAGTGACACTGCCATTGGTGTCCCCTGCCTTTGCTGCACATATCCCATCAGCAATGTGCCATCCAGCCTGGCTCATGGGTCCTCCCTCTGCACTTCCACGAGATAGAAAATGGTGAATTCAGTGCTCCTAGTGCCTCTGTTGGGAAAGCTGAAGCTGGTGTGAGAGTTAGAGATTTGCAGGACAGTCCTGTGCTTTCTCAATCTATAGGCTCATGGAATAGCTCTCCTAGGAAAACAGTGTTGTTTCATGGATTGATTTCCTTTCAGATCCAGAAGTGGTTTATTTTTGACCCAGTCCTTTCCTCCTTAACCTTCTGCTGCTTTGGTAACACATCATTTTTCATTTCTATTTTTGGTTTGTGGATTGAATAAACAGGCAGCGATCAAAGGGAATGGCTGGGATGCAGGAAATTTCATCTCCATTTCATAAAATGACATATTTGACTCCAATGCCACGGGCTGAAGGCAGTTTTTCCCGGGCTGTGGTGTTCCCACGTGACAGCATGTGCTGTTTGACATCTGAGCTGCCGCTCTCTAACTTAGCAGCACAGCCAGAAGTGCACAGGAAAGATAAAAATAAATGTTAATCTAGATTTTTGCTCTGCTTATCTGTCCTGAGGCACATTCAAGGTACTGAAATGAAGTGTTAGGTGACAGGTGAGGATGAGGCTGATAGGCACTGCTCACTTCTGCACACCCTCTGAAGCAGGAGGGGTGTGTAAGGTGCTGAGTTTTGTGTGGGGGTGTGACCTGCCCCTAGTTACTGTGTAGAACATGCACATCCAGGGTGCCACATTGTCTGACTCAAAGAGCCAAAGAAAAGGATTGATACTGCAAAAGAAAGTCAGAAAAACTATTATTTCAGAGGATTAAAACGTAGTCTGTACTGGTAGACAGAGGGGACTCATTCAGCCCTGGAAAATTCTGTGATCAGTAAGAAGTTCTCTGGAGCTGTCTAAAGAGATATTTTGGCTTAGTTTGGGGAAGTTACCTGGAGTACATCCACACAGGGCTTTGGCCTGGTGCAAGCAGGTGGGCTCTTAATCCAAATCCAGTTGAAACCTTTTCACAAGTTGCTCAGCTCCAGTTCAACAAGACAAGCACATGGGAGACGTGTCAGGGCAGTGGCTTTCAGCTTCCCCTCAGTAATTGCTGAGTGTCCAGGTGAATAATTCAGCTGAGGGAGGGAGAGTGAGAGCTTTTTGGAAAGCCCAGGTGAAGATTCATGTTAGGTCTCCCTTCAGCAGGCTAAGAAAGTATTTCCATAGAGTTCTTATTGATTTTGGAAGACTTTAACTACATAATTTACTTTACAAAACTTATAAAAATTCATTTTTATTGCCTAGAAGGCTATACAAACACATTTACAAAGCCACATTTTTTAAAGATGAGCCATTGGGTTTTTCTGACTTCTTTATTAAGAATGTTTTTGTTCTACTTCTTCCACCTGTTAAGCATGGGCTTCCTCCTTTCAGTCTCAAGGTTTGTGCCTCTCACTGGATCACAGAAATATTTGATTTCGGCTTTGACAAAGCTGAGGTGGTGAAAACCTTAGGGAGAGGTGGAGGAGACACTTTCTAAAGCAGCATTTGGCAGGACAGAAACATTCCCAGTTGAAAGCAAATTTTGTTTTTGCTTTGGGAGGCTCATGGAATTTTTCAAGTCACACATGGGTAAAACACGAATTTTGAAATTATTTTGCACTGACACAAACCTCAAATATTACATTTCCAATGATGGCTTAAATTAAGCTTTTCCAGAAATCTTATGTTTCTCAATGAAGATTCAAAAATGGAGTTCTTGGAGTTACAACCTCATGACTTCCAGGATTTTAAAGGATCTATCAAAAGAGCCTTGTTCATATTACCTATTCCTCCAGGTCATCTTCTTTTAAGTTTTCATTGTCCTCTCAAGTGCTTCATGGGTATGTATATGTATATATTCTTAGGAATTAGGTTTTAATACAGACTTCTAATGATTAGAGTGAAATTGCTGCAGCGCTTGGTTTAAACTCTAAATCTTATTTGTCATTTCAACACAGACTCATTGAGTTTACTTGACAGCTTGGGCTTTTTTTTTCACCTAGACGTGAGTAAAAACATTGTGTTTTTCTTCCCCTTCAGTCCAGTGACTAAGGTAAAGAAATTAGCCAATAAAGTAAATATTTATGCCTATATTTTAATCAAGAATTTCACTGTTACTTGTGCTGTGTCTGAGCATTCAAATCCTTTTGTTCTCAAATTTTTTTTTTTTTCCCAGAATATAATCCCTGTTTCCATTCCCTTCCAAACAAACCAAAAGAGTAAATCCCAGTGAAAAGCTCAGGAGCTATGGAGTAGCCTCCACTGGCAGAATACAACCTCTGCCACTTTTATGGTAGTGTTTTTTCCAACCCAGCACAGTCAGGTCCCAAAAGATGGGAAAGGTGTTCCTTAAATGATCAGTGCTTTTGCTGTGACTTTCAGTTCCAGCTGCCAAGTGCTGACCACTGGAAAAGGTAGCTGGTCCTTGTCGTTGATTCATGATAGGTGAACTCCTGTAGGAATGGACAAACTGGGCATGGGAGACTGCTCTGGGACCAGCAGGGTCATCTGTGCTCTCCTATGAAGCAACAAGCTGCCTGTGGGCCAGGCAGTGCAGCCTCAAGTTTGGCAGAAGTCATAAATGACAATTTTCAGCGAAATTATGTTGATGTCCAAGACAATTATTCTAGCCTAAACCTTATTTATGATATATTTTCTTGTCCTTCCTCAGGTATTTTGAGTTTTATGAAGGGCCTTTGGAATACAACTCTACGAAATGCCTGGAATTAAGGCAGGACATCATTGAGGTGAAGGTCTTGTCTATGTAAGTATGAACTAAATGTAAAAAGCAGAAGTATTTAGCAGTAAAAGCATCACTAAGAAGGTTAATTCTGAGGCAGGATGGAATGGTATCTTACAATGACACTGTCAAAATATTCAAGGCTCAAGAGATCACGTCGACAGAGACCTCAGAAGGGATCCCTAACCTTCTCTTTCCTGTGCAAGCAGTTTTTTAATTTGATCTGAGGTGCATTTACAAAACATAAAATCTTTTCCCATACATTGAGGCATTTTGGTCAGGCCCAGAATTATTGCTGGGAATTAAATACAGCATTTGTAAGATCATATTTCCAGTAATAAAAGAGTAAGAACAGCCAGACTGACTCATGCAAGTGTTCATCTAGCTTAAGGCTCTTTCATTGACAGTGGCCAGTAGTGAAGGGTAAGAAAAGAAGAAAACTCTCAGCCCTTCTTGATAACAAATACTGGCATGGGGACTTGTGGACTGGTAGAAGGAGTCCAGAGTGGAGTAATCAGAGTGGACAATAGACCTTTCTATTAATTTGTTTAAATATTTTCTGAGTATTTTTATTTTTGACCTCTGCAAAAAACAGAGAGTTTCACAACTCAAAACCTCTCAATGAAAATGTAAGAAAATGTGATTCTGGGAAACAATAAAATATCTCTAAATTGTTTCTTGTGGTCCAATGAGCATGTCAGGAAGCCAATAAGTTGAATAAGATATATACGTGAAGTCAAAGCAAAGGAATTGGGTGAAAAAAGTGAGTTTGCCATTGCAATAGTGCACAGCTGGGTAATTTTAGTGTTACCCTTTTTCATTTTCAGCATTTCACTGAGCTGAGGTGCTTACATCATGCCTAATCCCTCACCATGTCTAAAGCCAGTGGTTTAGTAATGTTACAGGCAACACACAAGGTCTGCAAAGTGCATTGGGAATGTCAGTTCAAAGTGCAGCTCCACAGGTGCTTAACATTAAGCAGCCAGGGCTACAGAAAATACAGTTTGTTGCTCCAGGTCTGCATGAATCTGAGCATGTCTCCCTCACTGACTTTGTGCACAGCAAAATGTAGGTTATGTCCTTGCCTTCTGCACTGGATGAAGGATACACGAGTAACACACTTTGCACTGCTTGCTGACTAGCAGCACTTAAAAATAAATAGGAGGGGTGAGAATGTCACACTTCTGCCAATGTTCTGCTGAAGATGGGGAGTTCTGAATTGCTTTTTTTCTTTTTTTCCCCTCACATACTTATCAGAGGACGCAGAGAATTCCTAATTTTTCTTCAACCTTACCCAGTGGCCCAAGGAAAGTTGTGGAGTCCTGCTCAGCTAGATACGAGTTAATTCCACAGTAGATGCCACTTGACATTAAGCTCTTCTACCCTGCTGGTCTCTTCTGATGTTCTTGATTCAAATGTGCTATGTTTCCCAAGTCAGCCCTTATGGTAATGGAAGATTTCCAAGTTAATGTGCTCTGGTGGGCTACAGAAAGTACAATATGACCTAATTCTTTCCTGTAACTTCCTCAGCCTGGGAAAAGCTATGTTCTACTCACACTAAATATATAATTATCTTAAAAGTCTTTGCTTTATTCAAACATTAAAAGCCCTCAAGCCTGAAGAGAACTCATTAAGACCTATCAATCTAGCAGAAATCACAGACTTCCAAATTTCTTAGCCAGATTGTGCAGTTGCTTCCTACCTCCAGATATTTGCAAAGCCTTTATTATCTCTGTTGTCCAAACGCACAACAATATGTGCGAACTTCAGTGTGGAAGTTCTTGGAATTGGTGATATCATCAAAAAATGAGTCATCCTGTATCAGCCTAGCTGAAATAGGAATGTTCTTCTTCTTCTTTTTTTTTTTTTTTAGTGTGACTACAGGTATATTGATTAGCAGGGGAGGTGGTAGAGATCCTTATGTAAAGAGCTTTTAATTTCCTCTTACTATCACAGAATCATCCCTGCATGTGAGCTCATAAATTGCTCATAAAATAAATTTACCTACAGTGTTGTGCTGTAGGATCTCACAGATTAAGTTAACCTCACCAAAATATGTTGGTCAAATTAATCCCCTTTTCTGGTAATCTCCTCCTGGGCTCTTCTGCTTTGTGCACCTTTTCTCCTAAACCCATTTGCTTTCCAGCAGATTTTGGTAAAGTACATGCTTCTTGCTCAATATTGCATTTTTTATCCTGAAAAAAAATGGAGAAAGCCTTTCAGGGAGAAGAAATCAGTCCCCAACATCAATTCTTGCATACATGGAGCATAGAGTGGCTATGTCTGAGCAGAAAAAGGAAGAAAAATTGTAAATTTTGCACTGTCTAGACTGACTGATTTGCCCCATCAATTTGCATGGTACTCTATCTGCAGCTGTTTTAGGAAATTAAGCCCTTGTAATAAACTAAATTTTTATGTTTTTCTTTCTTTTTTATATTTTAGGGTGAAACAAACTGAATTGTTTGACAGATGGAAGAGCCTACAGATGTGCAAATGGGAGATGAATGTCACAGAAGCCAATTTATTCAAGTAAGAATAGCTCACATTAATGAGACTGACTAAAATTTACTTTAGTTTGAGTTTAGCTTCCTGCAGAGAGAGATCAAAATTTCCTATGGATAGCAAGAGTAAGCATGACAACATTTGGAGTACCATCCTTTTGAATAAATGTAGACTTTTCCCCCTACTTCAAAAAAAAAAAAAAACAGCAGCAGGAGTAAAAGAATGCTTTTCTGACATGTGGAACAGTCTTCCAGGAAAGGCAAGGAATTTGGTGTGGGGAAAATTTCCAAGTGTTATTTGGGTGAGCAATGAGGATGGAGATGAGGTTTAATGGCTGCACCTAACATGTCAACCTAACTCTGGCTTGGAATGGTAAAATCACTAGTGATACTGAAAATTTGGCCTACAAAATACTCAAACTGGTTTTCTGGGTGTTTTAGGTACTGTCAGACCTTGTTAATGACTTCCTCTTGTTGTTTGGTTTTTGTTTTTATTTTAATGGCTTCTTAGCTATTGCTCACAGATTATCTACATATTTTTTCTGGTCTTCAGAGACCTCTCAGTTGGTTTCTGTAGTGTTCTATCTTTCTTTGTGTGACTTCTCTGCTGAAGATCCTCCATCATCCTCTCAAGACACAGCTTTTGAAACTGGCCTTGTGAAGGCAAGAGTAGATTGAAGCCAAAACAATTTTTGAATGTTATATATTCCAGTGGCATATTTGAGTAGGTTTTGAGAGAACACACTATTTCAAGAAAAGTGCTGTAGACTGAAGTCTGCAAGTCACTGGTACAATTCAGAGCTGTTGTTTATAATAAGGCCCACAGCTTTATCCCAAATTCTCTTGCGTGATTCCAGGAAATAGCTGTCAGGAGTTAATGAGAGAATGTGAGAATGCATGTGCTAAGTTAGTCATTGACATCTTTAAAAATAACATGTATAGTCTTCAGGCTTATAACAGTTTCTCCAACATGATCTCCACACCTAAGTTTTTTAGGTGTTCGAGGTTTTTTGTTTGGTTTTTTGGGGTTTTGGGGGGAGGAGGATTTGTTTTATTTTATTTTTGGTTTTTTGTTTGGTTGGGTTTTTTTGTTGTTGTTGTTGTTTTTCTGTATTTTTCCTGGAAATTACTTGATAGGCAATTATCAGAGCCATTTTAAAGAGAGGAGTCATTCAGGATTATAGCTCATTATTTTAAAAAACAGCTGGAGTGAGAGGAGTAATGACTGTGCCCAGAGAGCAAGCAGAACTTTGAGGTATGGAAAAGTGCCCTTTGAGGTTTGGAGGCCAGAGCAGAGGTGGGAGCAATGAGAAAGGACTATCCAAAGACCACCAGGAAGACCATCAATCTATCTCAGGCCACAAACACCAGCACATTAAACAAAGAACCCCTCTCCACCCTGTGCACTGAAAGAAAAAAGAGATGAAAGACTCCTGTCACTGCCTGTACCTGCCTGACTGATACATCATTGCTCCAGGAACTGGCACCCAGATCTAACATAATCTTTGTCAGATGGTTTCAGTAGTGCTTGTAATTAAAAAAGAAAAGATGTCTAAAGTCTGTTTCATCTGTGTTCAGTGGGGCAGAGACATCAGTGTGTGAATGTGTGGGGAAGCTGCTGTCCCTTAAAAGCAAACCAAAGTCTCTGAGTTTGGAGGTTCTTTAGGAGGAGGCTGAAACGTGTAACCCTCTGAGCTGTGGGATTTGGAGCTTTGCCAGTCCTGGACCATCATGTGAGATGGGGAGAATCCAGCAGATTTTAAATGGCAGCTGCTTAAGCAGCAGAGAGAGAGGAAGGGCAGAAGTCACAATAGAGTTTGTATCTGGAGACTAAGGAAAGCAATTTCCTTGAGAGTCTTCCATCAGATATTAGGCATTCACATAAAGGACTGTGCCTCTGGAAAACCAGCTGGACATTAAGGAAGAACATCTCTTTCAATTCCTTAAGGAGCAGCCAGTGAAGAGGTTTTTCTCATATCCCAACTATAACAATTCAATTCCACTATCTGCTTGTAATTATTTTTGCTGTTAGACATTACTCATTGACTTTTTCAGTCTCATTTGCTGCCTTGATCTGATGGTCATTTTGTGCCATTCTGCATGACTCAAGTATATGAGAGTAATTGGACATCACTGAAATGTTTGCATAATTCTCTATTTGCTTTCTTGTGCTTGTAATAAAGCCCATAAAGAAGACTGGCTTATTCTTCCAACTTAGAATATGAGGCCACACACCCTAGAGGCAAGGTATTTAATCTGGGTTATTTGAGAGCCATTTGGCTTTGTCCTCATGTGCTTGTACATTCACCATGACATGTATTTTTCATTAAAGGTATCAAATGTGTTGACTGAGAAAGAAACCATCTCTGGAATAAGAGTGAGCAGAAGTCAGGGCTTTCAGTGCCACCAGTAAAAGAACTAAAGCATTCAGGGAATGATGGAACCTGGCAAAGGGAATCTTCTTTGCAAAGCTGCTTTTCCCATTAACATTTCACATGGAACATGGCAAAGGGATCAGAGCTGAATGTTTTTTTCTCTCTTACTCTGAATCCCGTGGTTGGGATTTTGTTCTGCTCTTGTTTGCACTGGAATTTCTTCCATTTTGTCCCAGGGAGGAAGAAAATATTGGTCATTTGTCTGAGAATCTGGAGTTTTAGGCATGACCAGTTTGCCTGGTACCCATCTGTTGGGGCCACATCACCTTCCTGATACACACATGCGCAAGGCCAAGGGCAAAACTAAGATATTTGAAAGTTTTTTTGTTGTAATCAAAGCACGCTGTGCTCCACAGCAATCTGGTAAGTGGGGCAGTGTCTTTGGGTATTGCTGTGTTTAAATACTGCCCTGCCATATTTCCACATCCTGAGAGGGACTCTTTAACCCCCTACATTTCCTGCCCAGTGACAAGTATATAATTTATAAAATGTTGAAGACCTCTAAGGTAGAGAGGGATTAATTCATTAAGGTGGTTTTGCGAGGATGTTGGAGGTAGAAGCTCATCTTTAGGGACTAGAGCAGGGCAGAATTTGCACATGTATTTCCCACAGCCTGGAAGAGACAAGTGAGGTGTCTCATTTACTCTCTTTTCTTTTTGTTTTGCCATAGTTTTCTCAATCAAAGACAGTTTCCCTGATTCTGAAGCTTTTTGAATGAAAATTCAGCAAACCACCATTTTAACCATCCTAGAGCTAAAAGTTTCTTTTTAGTGAAAAATACCTTGTTAGGAGTAACAACAAATCCCATATCATGCCATCAGCTCCTTGATCTTATTTCTTTTTCATTTCCCAGGTCTACTCTGTCGAGGTGTTGCAACGCCCCATCCTTTCTGTTCACCACCCAGAAAAATACTCCTTTGGGAACTAAACTGAAATATGAAGTGGACACAAGTGGAATCTTTCATATCAACCAAGAAATCTTCAAAATGTTTCCAAAGGTGCCTCTGCCCATTTGCAGCATCAGCTTCACTGTACTTTAGGCATTTAGACACTTAGTGCATTAGGCACTATTCTATAGCCAAGCATTTAGAACTTGTTTGACATTTTTTTTCACTGCTTATATTTTCAAAATGTTTATTTTTTGATAAAATACTTATTCTGCTTTCTGGTGGTCGTCTGCAAACAATATATGCATACAATGCATACATACACATATATATATGTATATATACATATACATATATATATATATGTATATATATGTAATTTCCTACAGAATATTGCTGACTTAGAAGCAAAGTGGATAATGAAATAAGAAAGCTAAATAAAAGAGACACTTACTGATCAGAACTCTTTTAAAGTATAATATTCACATGTAATAAATCCAACTTTTGGGGGTAGGTCTGCTTTTCTTTTTGGCATGTTTATTTTATAATTCATATTCACAGTGACTATTTTTATACTTCTGTTTGCAGATTATCTGTGAACAGGCTTCATAATTTTTAAATGTATTCATCATTATTATTCAAAACCTTTCCAGCAAATAACACTTGACCTCCAGGGGTTATTCAAGGTTATAATCAGTGGGCAATTCCCTCTGCACATAGTGACTAATATGCAGGAATGGGCTGATGTGGCTTCATCACAAGGCACACCCCTTCAATTTACAGCAGCATACTTGGAGGGGCTAGCTGAAATTTATCCCTGTGGAAAAGTCAGATGTATATTCAGGTTAAGCACTTAGATTTGTGATGTTTAACCTGTCCTTCAGGGTACAACCACTTCTAATCCTTTGGCTTTCCAAGCACTGCTGAGAGGCAGGGAAGTGCTGCTGTCTGAACGTGCACATGGGGAACTGGGGCAGCAGCAGGGGAAAGGCTGGGATCCAGGAGAACACTTTGGCATCTGGAGACATGCAAGTAATGGATGCATCTAAGTCCAGGAGTATTATCCTCAAAACCCTGCCTGATTAGGCAGATGAGTGCATGAAATTCTGGATCCCTGAGATCTGCTAGGAGTGTGCCAGAGCTGATGTGTTTTTTGTCCAGGTGTGATCAGGATGCTGTGAAGGTGTCATTACATGCCAAAATGCCTTTGGGAGTCACTGGGCAGTGACCAAAGCCACCTCCCTGCACAGGAGCAGGACTGCAGCCTGGCACATATAGGAAATAAAGGGCTGAAAACAGAGAAGCAATGCTCTACAGGCAAGAGCCTTGTGCTAAGCATGGGCACCTGGCTTCTGATTTCCCTTCCAGGGCTGCTGAGGAACCTTGTGTTAAGAAATCACTGCATAAAGCACAGACAGCTCCATATTTCCTCTCTGTCAGACAGCTGCTGCTTTTCTCAGACAGGTGTAATTGCATGCCCTTTTTGCCTCATGGCTTATGGATGCCATGGAAAGATCCTGGGAATAATCACCCAGAAATGTCAAGCCACTCCTGCATCCCTCTGTAGTTTGCAGCATGAGATTATTGATAAAATATGTATGTCCCAAAAACGAGCACTCTCATGCTTATATAAGCACATCCCTACATATTCATAAGGTGTAGCGTGGCTCAGTTCTGCGTCACAGCCCTCTCACCCTAACAGCCCAGTTTGTTCTCAAGATGTGATTTTCACTCTCTCTGGCTTCGGCAGCAGCTGCATCTCTGTGTGTGTAAAAGGCAGGGTTCTGCCCAATGATTACAGGAAGATGCATCCTCCACGAGTCCAAAAAGGTGCCTGAGCAAAGTGCTGGTAGTGCAAATGCTAATTAATAATCATTAATGCTATCAGTGCAATTAGAGTTGGTCAGCACTAAAATTTGGGCTGCTTTCTATGATGTGCTGTCTGACAGAATTCAGCTTTCCTGAAGCTCTGTGCACAGACTTCCCAAAAGCAGGACAACAGAGCCTGAGGAGCCAGCAGTTTGCAAGCAGCTCAGAAAACAGCTGAACTACACTAATTTATGGTTTGTGCCCTGATGTGGAAATCAAAGGGGAAAACAAATGTCTAAAATTACTCCTTATGCTACTGAACCTGGGGAAAAAGAACAGGTTATGGGTTTCTTCCCACTTGGGATTGCTGCCTGCGCTGCAAAATATCCCATCACTTTGTGTACAGGCAATATTGCACCCCAGAACCAGTGCCAGCATCCTGTGGTGAATGCATCAAGGTGCAGCTGCAGAGGTAAAAAGGGAAAAAATGAAAAAGAGAGTTTCTGGCTGCATGTTTTGGGGTCTTTAACTGTTTCCTTGCCGTGCTGTTGCAGGACATGCCGTACCACCGCTCCCAGTTTAAGAGGTGTGCAGTGGTTGGGAATGGAGGAATTCTGAAGAACAGCAGATGTGGCCGGGAGATTGACAGTGCAGACTTTGTCTTTCGGTAACCACCACAGCTCCAGTTTTCTCCTTTTTTTTTGCCTTTCCTAACAACATTTTAGAACATTGAAAAGCTATTCTCTCTCACATGGAAACATGACATTTGCTAAATTGGCTATGTCGAGCTTGCTTCTTGCACAAAAAGACATGTTTAAAAAAAAAACACCCAAAAACCCCAAATCGTCTTAATTTATAATTTTTTATTTTTTTTTAAATAAGCTTTGAGGAATTATTTCTCCCTAACTCCATAAGGCTAATAACTGACTTTTTGGCAAAGTGTGTTGCTCTCTTTCAGGATATCCCCTGCCACTGAGGTTGTGGATTTATCCTTCTATGGATATTAGCCTATAAGCGGTGTCCCATGAACCTGGGCATAATTTTTTGGGGCAGACCTGAGCCAGAGGTACAACCTCTATTGAGTGACAAGCAGCTTGGTGAAAATGTTAATAGCTCACAGCTGATGTGCCTCAGAGGTGTGTTTCTGGACTGGTGCAGAGCTCAGGTGCTCAGTAACAGGACGTGGTGTAATCAATAATCAACCCGGAGCCTCCAGAGTCACCAGAATAACTTTAAAGCTTAAGAGCCTTCATTGCTCCTCACTATATGTGGAATTATCCAGGTTTTGCACAAACTGGGATGTCCCATGATGAGTGTCCCTGCATAAGAGAGTCTAGCAGCAGTTTTATAATCCTTAATATATATGAGGAAGATTTTTTTATTATTCATATGCATGACTAATCTCTCTCTAAATCCTGTTAAGCTCTTTGCCTGGGTCATGGCATATGACCACTAGCTCACAGATTCATGACTTATTCTCTAGAAAAGAAAAATCTCTTTATTTCAGTTGGCCTATTTTCTGATCTTGGTTGTGTTGTTGTCATAGTTTAGAATAACTGCATAAAATAATTAATGTCTCTGACTTCACACCAGCAAAAATCAGATCAGATTTTGGTTCAGTGAAGTCTTAATTTAATTTGACATCATATGAAAAATTTTACGGGTCCTACATTCAGCATTCATTGTTTTCAGACCCTTGTGTCTGCCTCTTACTTCAACTTTACAGAAAACTATTACCTTACTTTTCAATGAAAAAAAAAGTCTGCAGGAAAGTCCAGGCTTCACATAATTCTTTTTCTTAATAGCCTAATGTATTCCATATGCATTAAATAATTACTGTGGATTCCCTGCTGTTGTGTTGGACCACAACCATAAGTATGGATGAAAAGAGCAGCCCATGTGACACATGGAGATGGCAAGTTTTTAAGCAGAATCTGAAATATGTCTGGCAAATATCATTTATGTTTAAGGACTTTTAATAGATGTCCTGCTTTACTACTGCTAATCTTCCTTGAACTGTATCAAAACTGGTAAAAAAAAGAGACTATTACAAAACTTAGAAATTTGGTTGTGTTTGGTAACAGTAACAATTAAATAGAGGTTTAGTCAGAACTGGAATATGAATAAATATATCAGTTATAAAAAAAAAAAACCTTGTTTGCCATCTCCAAAATGTGGATTATACACAAATATGTGCCAGTATTTTAAAACTCAAGGTCTGCTGACATCAGTTTTAAAGTAAAGCTTGTGTTCAAGGTCAGGTCTGAACACATCTGCTTTCGAGTCACCACTTGACAAACTATCAGAAATCATCATCCTGGTCACCAGTGAAATAATTTAAAACATTTCACAAGCTGCTTATGCAGCCCTGATTACATTCAGCAATACCTTCAGGACACTTGGGGAAATCTTTTCTTGCAGCCAGCAGCATGCAGCTAGGATTGTTCTGGGAAGTCAATTCTGAAAGCAATTAGATATACTACAATAGAATATATAAAATACACACTAGAATTGCATTTACTAGTAGTTATTGTCTGTCTCCATCTACTGGCCAGAGCAGAGCTCTGTGGTGAAACACTGAGTGAATTTAGAGATGGGGTTCCTCTTGGAGGGGGTGAGATTTTGTAGTTTTATGAGAAGAGTACAGTTTGTGTAGATGGGACAGTTTTTATAAGGCATTATTGCCTTCAGAAAATTCAGTCACTCTCAATCCTGTTGTGAATTTCCTGTTCAGAAATATTGAAACTGATTATTTGAAGACTTTCCTCAAATACAATCTAGTAAGCACAGTGCCCAGTGCTTGGGTGCCCAAGGAATTGAATTGCAGCAGAGGAGAGTGCTAGAAATGGTATTGTCTGTGAAAAGGAGACCCAAAAACAATTCTCTGACCTGATAAAGATGGACTACCTGTAAGGTGGATGTGAATCTTCTGAGTGTGAGAAGGACCTTGAAAGAATTTTGTGCCCTCTTCTGCTCCCCAAACTGTCCTCTCTCTTTGACTGAGATATTATCCTGACAGCTGAACTGTGGTATTGTGAAAACAGTAAGCATCTCTTATCCTAAATATCATCACAGTTTTCTCCCTGTTTTACTCAGCCCTGTTCTTCAGAAATATGGACAACTTTGAGAATTAGGCACAGCAATATTTTTGATACGTAGGATTCTTAACCGTGATGGTCTTAATGGAGGCTTGCAGATCACTTCAAAAAGCTTTCGAAATGTTACTCTGTGCCTAACTCGAGCTTAAACTGAGTCTAAAACCAGTTTCCAGGCCACATGTTTTATCCCTGAAAGCACATGCTGATGTTTTTTTCAGCTGGATTTCCTCTGGAAGCAAAGACAGTGTGGTAGCTTGTGAGTGTGAGTTTCAGTAACTTCAGCATCTCTTGAGGGATGCTCTAAATTTTGTGAGATGCTGTATCTAGGACAAGGCCAAGGTGAATGGAGGTTGGGCAAAGTCAGGGCTTGCAAATCTCTCCAGTTTGCTTCCAATAACTTTGATGTCCTGTGGTGAACTTGTAGAGTCAGAATTGCTGCTATTATTGCCGTGTTGGGAAATGCTTATAAATGGAAAAGGAAATGAAGCAGATAGTTTGGGATTAATTAGGTCTGGATTGATTTGTCTCTTGTGGAACATTTCCCCTAAATTCTCCTGGGTATAAACCAAAACATCTTAAAGGCAGTGTTTTAGATATAGTTTATTAATTATTGAATACATCTCAGCTACTGCAGAGCAATCCTTTGATTTCATGGGCTGATTGGCCTTGGAGCTTCAATCCATTTCGCATCCTAAATTGCCAGAGTAAATAGGTAAATTGCTATTTAGGAGGCAAAATGAGTGTTGGCTACACCTGCAAAGAGGGGTCATCTCTCACTGGTGAGGGAAAAAGAGAGGTCTTCACACAGCCCTCAAGAATTTGTTAGATTATTGCATAGTTTGGGCATCAGCATTGATACAATTTTAAATTCTCACTCTGTTTGTAGATTTGTCACTTGGCAGAAATGCTTAAATAAATTATATTTTCTAGTCCTGAAAGGGTGAAAGGAAATTTTTAACTTTCTTACTAATTTCTCTCTTTTATAGATGCAATTTGCCTCCTATATCTGAGAAATACTTCATGGACGTTGGGGTGAAGACAGATGTCGTGACTGTCAATCCCAGTATAATCACTGAGAGGTTATTTCTGGTTTTTTTTTATTATTTCCATTTCTCTTGATTTCTCAAATTTACCTTTAACTTAATTCTGTTGGACAATATTTTTTCCCAAATCCTACTTTATACCATCACTATGAATCATACATTTCATCCTGAATTGAATAAGTAACAAGTTGTAGAAATGTGTTAAACACTTAAACCTGCACTTTGATGACAGAAAATGGAAAGGCAATAAGCTAAAATTAAAACAATGGATCCATCCTTCCACTGCTCTGCTTGCAAGTCCCAGTCAAATGTCTTAGAAACATTCAGGGTGAAAGAAACTGGATCCCACCTGAAATGCTGAAGTCATAGAATCAGAGTCATAAACACTGTAAAATTAAGATCATGAAGTAAATAAAGTAGTGCAAATTGTCACATGTTTTAAAGAAATGTCTGTGAAACTTTACTGTAGACAAGACTGACTAGGTGATTTTAATTTTAAATTTGTTAATGCCCCAATGCTACCTTGTGACATATCTGGGACCATGACTGCTTTCCTTTCTTGATGGGGGAATATGTTTCTTTTCTCAAGCAACATAAAATAATTTCTTTGGTTTTGGATTTCTATTAAAAATGTTAAAGTTAGATATTTTAAATGCTAGCTTTGGTGTATGGCACTTCTTTATTCAGCTCTGCACTGCATGGTGCACTACGTAGCGTGGAAAAATTACATACTTCTTATAATACCATGAGAAGTGAGACATGATCAGAAATGCCCACAGGGTTATTATGAATTTTTTTATGGCCTGAATTTTCACCCTACATTTCATGCTGATGCTGTACAAAATTTAAGTAATAGATTTGCTAACAAATCTAAGTACGTTCCCGTTGATAACTGAAGAATCATCTCAATTATCTCCATGTCAGCAATATTTCAATAAAAGCCCATTGGGGTTTTCTTGCTGGGAATGGGCTGACCACCCCTCACACCCTCTCTCCTTCAGATTCCACAAGCTGGAGAAGTGGAGGAAGCCCTTCTACGACGTGCTCCAGGTGTACGAGAACGCGTCCGTGCTGCTGCCGGCCTTCTACAACACGCGCAACACGGACGTGTCCATCCGGGTCAAGTACGTCCTGGACGACTTCGAGTCCCAGCAGGCTGTTTATTACTTCCACCCCCAGTATCTCATCAACGTCTCGCGCTACTGGCTCGGCCAGGGCGTGCGGGCCAAGCGGGTCAGCACCGGGCTGATCCTGGTGACTGCGGCCATGGAGCTCTGCGAGGAGGTGCACCTCTTCGGCTTCTGGGCCTTCCCCATGAACCCCTCAGGGATTTTTATAACTCACCACTACTACGACAACGTGAAGCCTCGCCCCGGCTTCCATGCCATGCCCTCGGAAATATTCAATTTCCTCCACATGCACAGCAAGGGGATCCTGCGGGTTCACACGGGGACCTGCAGCTGACAGGGACACTGAGGAAGTGTGGCAGGAGCTCGATGGCCTGTGTAAGGTGTAGGAGGTTTTGTTACACCCCGAGATTATGCAATAATTGTTTGATATAAATTTCCTCAAGGCATTGAATCCCATAAAATCTAGGATACCAGCATCTTTCCTGCTAGCAGAGTTGGGTCCATAACAGTGTAGGAGAAGCAAAACTCCCATGCCCCAGGGTACACGCTGTCCTAGAAAGCAAATCAGATTAGAAGCACATTTACAATACATTTAGGGATAAATAGAGCACATTAATATATTTATCATTTCACTATGGAGAAAAGCATCAAACTTTTGAGGAAAAACAGTGGTGGAGAATTTTAGCATAGACTGTATGACTTTACATAGGTTTCTGAATCGAGTACCTTGGGGTATTCCCAGACTTTATTGAACACTCTGTTCTCTGGCCTTTAGGTTTTTGAAAATACTCTTTAGCATTATAGCTTAATGGGGATATATAACTTAAAATCTTTGTTCTGTAATGTCACAAAGTGTTGATCAAAAATAGCAGATAGATGCGTTAGGAATAAACAAAATCACTTTATGAATTTTTTCAGTCAGGATAGAACAGAACGTTGAACTCCCATTCACAGCATCAGGTAACTGTGTGAATCGTGTTGCGATACTGTTTTAGAGATTATTTCTTCTTCCTTCTTGCGTCTTGCATTTCTGTTCTCCTCTGCTGATTGTGCTTCCTTTCTCCTTGTCTGTGATGCTTTCCTTCTGGCTAACACATGGCAATGTGTGTACTTCCTCCTACAGCCACCATCTCAGCATCACACTGGAGTCCTTGCTGAAGAAGCAAGCTCCTTCACAAGGTTTTCTTGAGATGAAGAGCAAGGGGATTACATAGTTATATTTTACAAGTTGATTTTTCGGTTCAGCATAAGATAGAAAAAAAACCCGTTTCCTCATTGATTTTTATTGAAGACTTTGTAAAAGTACCTGAATGTTGATTCTCTGTTGTGCAGGTGGAGTTAACACTTTCAGGTATCTGTAATAAGTTGATGTCAGGAAATGAAGTTAAGATTCAGAGAAGTTATTTTGTGGCTTAGATTATGATGCTTATTTTAAAATTATGCATCTTGAGACATCAAATGTCTTAATGTGGCGTTTTAGTATATTGAGAATGTTATTAGGATAGTAAAAGGGCTGGTGGTATATTCTTTAAATGTCATCAGTGTAGCTCTGTGAGGTATGCCAAAGCTAATTTTTCACCTGTTACAGCTGCCAAAATCCTGAAGCAGAAAAGATGCCATAAGCTGCTGAAGTTTATTTTACTGTAGTAGGCCACCGGTATGTGCCCCTTCATACTGGTATGGTTGTATACACAGGAGGTGAGGTTTGCTGTTTCAGCTGTGCTGGCATAGTTAAATGAACAGAGTTTCCCTGTCTAAGTTCTTAGTCTGAAGCACTAGGGCTGTTGCCTTGTCTTGTCTTGTGTAGATTACAAGATCTTTGATCAAGGATTTGAAGTTTAAATTTCTGTATGAGGGATATCTTTTTTTGTGCTGAGGGGAGAGGGTTTAAATCCAAATGTGGACTTGGATTTTGATTTTGCAATGCATGAATGCACAAAGCTTCTTTTAAAAGCATCTGTGCTATGCTAAGAGCTGTGCAACTTGCTCACACTACAGATAAAATGATCACAAAGGAAGTGAAAGCACGATGGTCACCATTTCAAAAGTCCCTGCTGGCCAGCAGTAACCTGGATGGTGTGTGAGAGTGTATTTAATTTACACTAGACTCCCAAGGTCTGATTGCCTTAGAAGTAACCCATATCCTTGATGAAGGTGTCAGAACTCACCTGGGAAGCACCAGCCAGGGGCAGGTGAAGGACCAGTGCTTAAGCTTAATATATTATTTGTGGTGTTGTGTTTTAGGTCTTAGAGTTACACTGTGTGTTATTGAGCACCCCCTCGTATTGTCTACCTGTGAAATAGGCAGCACACCCAAGAACCTGCAGGTGAAATGGTTTCCTTGATTCAATATGCAAAAGAGATCTTTGTCTTTGCTGTGTTCTGTAAATTTGCGTGCAAAGGGCTTTGACAATGAAGTGCTGTGATGAAAGTGCTTTTTAGAGAGCAATGTGACACTGCAGGTTGGCCGTCTCGCTGTGCATTAAGTTTTATGATAACATTAATGACACTGAAGCTGGTACTTAGAGCCCTTACTCCTTACTCTGCCTGAGTTTGGGACTAGTAGTGACTTCAGGTTTGCTTTGCTGCTGCTGCTCTGCTAAGGTTACCTTCTTTAGTAAGAGATATTTCTTTACTATGGTGATTGAAGTGAACAAAATCAACTGAAAGGAGTTTGAGACATTGCAAAAGGCACTTCAAAAAAGATGGGAAAGCACTTGAGAAGCATCCACATGTTGATAGAAATAGTGCAAATCCCTCTTTTTAGTTGCAAGAAATCCTTTTGGACAGACAAAAGGATAAGCAAAACTGCATTTACAGTTAATCTGTAATTACAGGGTCACAGACATTTCCTTTCCATTGTTTGCTTCATGTAGATGAGCAATGTAAATTCACTGTAATAAGTGCAGTCTTACTGTGTTTAGATTTTGATTGCTTATAAATCTATAGCTACTATATTTTTTTAATGATTTTAAGAAGTGTGTGCAGGATACTTGCACGTATGCACCAAAGGCCCAGTCTTGCCACATTTATCTGAAAAGAGCCCCCATTCAGCTGGGTGGGTATTTTATTTGTGTAGGGACTGCAGAAACAGGCCCAGATATTTCTGTGAAGGTGTGCATAGGTGTACATTTAGATATAAGGAGTGATTCACAAGCCAGAAAGATGAATAATGAAATATATATATAAAATAGTCCTTGAGATGAAGTGCATATCGCAGCATGCTCACTTTCTGATTCCTTTTTCAGGTGTTGCTCAAAAAATGATTGCAAAACTATGGCATTTGCCAGAAATGCCATATGCAGAAGGGCTTTTGCAGAAAGAAGGACCCTCCTTGTTTTCTGCCATCATTCTTTTGTGTGAAGAGCATAAGAAAATTTTCTTTTGACTGAGTCAAGCATTTGTCTGAGTTTGGGGCTGTTTTTGTTTTCCCTTCTCCCATGCAGTCAAAGCTCCAAATATCCAATCTTAGCCTTTGAACAACTGGATACTTGACTGATAAGATGTGTATTTTTGCTGCTGTCAGGTGTGTTTGCTGCAAGTAAAGGATGTCTGTAGCACTTTGTGCTTTGCCAGAGAAAAGGCTTCAGGCTGCAGAGAAATGCCCCCCACCAATAATTCTGATCTGTCCATGAAGAAAGGCTGTCAGCTGTCTGGTACCACATCCTGAGCTTGAGCTGTAATCTCAGCTCTGCTCCTGAGGATATGAAGCCTGAGACAGGGAGAGAGAAAATGTTGTAGTTTAATCCCCAATTCCTCACATTATTTAGGAGAATCCCTTAAGAAGTTCCTGATATCTGCATACACTGGCAATGCAAGTTCAGTTGGAATTCATAACTAGGATTGCTTTGACTTTATTGTCAGGTCAACAGAGGAGGCTTATGAATCTGGCAGTGCTGTCATCAAAGGGAAGGAAGTATTTAGCTGGAATAGTTTAGCTGATTGCTTTTGATTTATGAAATCCAACTTTGCTGTCGGACAGAACGGCATCAATGGCGATAGGGCCATTATAATGTTTTAGCATATTTCCTGTGATTGCATCAGAGCTGCCAAAGCCAGATCATGAATTGCAAAAGGGAGAACCACGCCGTGACAGCTCCTCCTGCTGCTGTCTCCAAGAGGAGAGGCACTGTGCTGAGTAGGTCTGTGGTCTCCTGGAGAAACAATGTGAAGGGAGCATGGGAGACTGCAAGCACAGAGCTGCTCCAGAGCCTTTAGTGCTGTGGAATAACACGGATGACAGATGAAGTTTCACAGCTTGCAACAATCAGGGGTAGCTCCTCCAGTCCTGCAAAAATGTACCCTCTTGCAGCCTCAGCTGATGATGGATTAAAGGTGACTCGGGATGGCCAGATGCAGTAGATGGAAAGAAACCAGCTCTGAGAATAGTCCCCGCTGTGGGAGTTTGGTGAATCAGTGGAAGTGTTGCTCAAGCCTTGAAGGCAGGAGCGCTGGTGGTGACGCAGCTGCGTGGGTGGGCTGCCCGTGCTCAGCCCTCCCTGGCAGTGAGGAGCCATCTCTGCTTTGTCTGGGAGGGAAACTGAGGTTTCAAAAAGCACAGAGGTGGAGAGGGAAGGAATCTGTCCTTTCTGATCTTCTGAGCCCAGGTGGCTTGTCTGCTTGGGTAGCGAACGTGGAGCGCTCCGAAATGGGCAGTTTTCCTGACCTCATTCTCATTTGAGTGTGCAGAGAGCCTTGGAGCTTTTGCAAGTACAGGAAAAATGAAATAGCAAAATTCGGCGATCCCTAAAGGGCCAAGTTCCCTGGGGAATTCTGGAATGAGCTGAGGTTTCAGTTCACTCCAGAGAAGTCAGTATTTACGCTTAGGGCCTTTACAAAATCCACTGAAGCATGTGGAAATTTTGGTGTGCTCCAGAAATGGGCCTTAATCACGGGCAAGAAGAGCAGCCTCTTGTTTCCCCCTCACTTGACTTCAGATACACTTTTTAATATGCTTTAGAGACAGTGCAGTCACAATACCACGTTTTTAATGGTGTGAGTAAAGAACAAGCTTCTCTGGAAGCAGAAGTGTTGTGACTGTCACCCTCCCTTCCAGATTTCATCAATTTATCTTTTCAAACTCATCTATGCAAAGCATTTCTTCGTGGTAGTTGTAAATCATACATGAGCCCTCTGTACCTGACAGAATGTGTGTAAACCACAGGCCTCAGGAAAAGAGGTTTTTTTTTTCTGCTTGCTTTAAAATACCAGCATGGAATTTGTCAGCGGTATGAATGTGTTCAAGGCAGGATGCAGCCCACTACCTTTGAAGCCACCACAATGTTCACATTTGGGTTCAGCAGAAAGAGAATTCAGGCCTTATGTCTGTGCTTG